AAGGCAGTTGAAACACGTTGTGATGGATGGAGCTTGTAAGAGTTTGCCACGCACTCCCTCCAACGTTGTTTGTGTCTAATGGCATCATGCTCCTGGAAAATATTTGGTTGAATGCTGGTTTCTCGTTTGAGTAAGATGTGTGACGTGCCTTTGGGGAATCTGTGAGTCATGGAGGTCTTCATGTGGATGAAGAGCGTGAGTTGTGCAGAGGTTTTCAGTGATCTAAGGCGTGTTGAGATGAGAGAACTTCTTCAGTCGGAGTTCCCGTCATCCGAATGGAGGATCGGAGCGGACAATAAATTTGAAGACATCGAGCCGGGATCACGGGTTGAAATTGAACTCGCCGAATGAGAAGACTCCCCGACAAGCAAGACAGTAGACAGGCAGCTGTTTGTGGAAACCAAGGTTTAGCTTAGGGATCTAAATAGGACGCTTTCTTGTCGATCAATTAGCTGCAAACAAGCCTTCTCAAGGAAGGAGGTGATTCGCAGGTATCACCTATCGGCTGATAGGTTTCCCGCGGAACTAGACAGGGATCACGAAGCTGTTATGAGAGCTATCGCTTGGAGCATTTGAAAATGAATTGCATCATACTTCGTAGGAATCTGTGCCCTTTGCTAATATTATGGCGCATTTGCAGGCTCTAGGTCTTTGCCGTGTGATCTGCTTTGAGGCTCAGTTATGGGAGTTAAGAATGCCCAATTCGAGGTGATTGTGTCCATAAACGGCAGCTCCCCGTCTTCAATATTAGTAGCAACCCCGTTATCAACCCCTAGCGGGTACGCCCATTCCTGAGGTTCAGAGGGCGCTGGGATTTCAGAGTTTGTAACGATGAATGGGAAGTCCTCATCTCCGATGTTGTCATTCAATCGAGTTTGTGCTCGTAGCTCAACGATGTACTCGGGGTCTTCGCAAGATAACCCGGAGGTGGAGTGAAAATCTCGTCTTTTCGCCCACGCCGTCAGCACAGCCTGGCCGAGAACTAAGCAAGATCTTTCGGAGGCCTCCAAAAGTCCAGGGCGAAATCGGTAAATAGTCGCAATGTTTTCCCATGCTCGGTCCCCCATATAGTGATCAACTCTCTGCCCGAGAAGTACAACCACGTAGAGCAGGATGTCGTACTGGAAGTTAAAATCCGCGAACCAACTAAACCCATTGCCCTGAGAGTGCTCATATAGAGATGCGATATGCTCCAGGAATGCGGCAGCCCCCAAGAATGCACCCTCCACCTCATGAACACCCTCGGCTTCTGGTCTGGATCTGTCGTTAAGCCCCCTCATCAACTGGCCTTTCTGCACAATGAGTCCTGCTCCTAAAGCTTGAGCAAGAACATGAGCTTGCCCCGCGTGTGTATTACATCGATACTCCAGAATATGTTGCAAGCCTTCTTCAAGAATATCGAACTGGGCAAGATAGTAGCCCATTTGCTGATTCCTCGAATTGACGAACAGAGGGGGATGAACAGCCAGACTGTTGAGCTCCGCGGCCATTTTGACGGGCTCTAGGCCCGGCTTGTCCACAAGAAACTTCGTCAACTTATTTCTGATCAAGCAAATCACCATCTCTGATGGGCCATCGCGATCCAAAGTCGGTAGAGTTGCTGTCGGGAAGATATCGGCATCATTCAAGTTACTTGGCTCTTGAACATCCCAATCTCGCGGAAGCAAGGAATGCCCAAAGCCAGAGAAAAGCGCAAACTTCGAATCAAGTGACACAAGTTGCCACCATATCCTTCGCCGCATCTCGGTTTCAAAGGGCCCAAGACCAAGAGCGCGCCCATCTCGATGAAGACCCATTTTCTGAGCGATCCGAATGACAGTGCCACTTAGAACCCATGAACTATGGCGATCGTCTTTCGCCTGCAAAGAGTACTGCTCCACCCGTCAACGAACGAAATCTAAGTGCAGGACGGAGCATACCATGTACAGGCAAAGCGTTTGCAACACTACCAAATCGTCTGTTCGCATGAAGTCCAGACGTCGAAGAGCTTGCTGTGTGGCTTCAGAAAAGGTCACTGTGGCTGATTCTTTGGATATTCCCAAAGACTTGTCGCATTCGTCCTCAGTCATTGAAATTACTGCCATCAGGAAGATGGAAAGCATAAGCGACATGATGTTGGATGATAAACCACGAGGGCCGTTGGTGGCCTCGACGACAAAAGGCTGAAGGCTTGGCACATGAATCACCTTTGTGAATGGATTCACACGGTCTAGAAAGGTCTGCTAAAGCTTGAACACAACGGCCGGACTTGGCCAAGCATGTGCTGTGCTTGTGCTAATGTTGTCTCCGTCAAGAATGAGATCAGAGTTTGACATTGAGGACTTAGGATACAGGGCGTTGTTGCACTCTTTTTCGTCCAAGTTTATCAACTCATGCATCGCTCGCAGCTATTTCATCGACTTCAGTAATCATGCACCTTGATGTCAACCGAGACCTTCTTACCTCATTATTCACCATACCTATCAGGTAGTTATCCATGAATGTGACTTTTCCATTTGGATTCTCTACCAACTTTCCATCCGTAGTCCATTTGGATACATGTGATGGCTCCGTCGGAGTGTGGGAGTGTGCACTTTGAGGCGTGCCGTTTTCTCTTCCAGAATCATTACGACGATTATTAGAATTGTTCAAAAGCTCTTCACATCGTGCTAAGCGGGCTTTGAGAGCTTGATTGTACGGTCTCCTCCCTCGAGCAGGAGCTGGTGTCCCTGGGACACACGGAGTGGACGACTGCAAAATTTAATTTATGCGTATTCTTATTCTGAGACGAGTTGCTGGATCGGTACTCATCCATACTTTGATGCAATTGTTGCATGGAAGATCTCGGTTGCATTTGATTTTTCGTCTTTGACAAGTCGCACATGCAATCAGGCGTATGCCTGTGTTCGTTCGGTGGTCGTCGGGGGAAAACGACTCCGATTCCGAAGGCCCCGATAGGAATGAAGCCATATCCGTAGTACTTGTCGTCAGGCGTTTGCTCGAGAGTTGTGCTTACGTCAATTAAACAGAGCGATGAGGCAGGATTGATGCTTGACGAGGTAAAAGGTACTCCATTCAAGGTCGCGAAAATGAATGTCGGTCGGTTCTGTACGTGCGATTGTCCGAAATGGAGCATATATGGGTTTCGGGATTGAAAGTTTCTCCGATGCTCCGCGAATAATTCTCCTGGCACCGAATGGATCATCCGACACCTAGCGCCAGACGATGCACTGCAGGCGGGAAAGCTGAGGCCTTTTGAGGCTTGGACTATGTCCGACTTTGACGGCCATAACATTTTTCATCTGATCTGCATCTGAGACACCGTGTGGTATTGCAGATAAAAAAGCATATGGAATCTGCACTACAAGAGACTCTTTCTTTCCTTCTAACTTTTCATCTTCGCAGTTTGCCGCCTGAAGGCGCAACTTGTTGACTGTCGTATGACTATCACGGGGAATCATTCAAGGGCCAGGATGGCTCACTACAAGAGACTTCACGATTGTCAAGTTGCACGTAAGTCTGTGCAGACCTGTACGAATTGACTCAGATGTATTACGGTGTCTTGATGTCGAAAGGTAGAGGAATAGAGAAATGGGAAGCTAGGGAACACTTGGCAGGCTCCAAAGTATATCCCAGGCGCGATCCTCTGGGTCAAGGATATCAGACGAGCTTCCCCATAGTCCGAAAGGAGCTAGACTCCTGTCCAGTGGCAGAGAAAGCCAGTCCCCTGATGAGAAGCAAAGATCGTTGGTTGTTGTACCACTGAGGGCTCCCACCTCGCCATCGTTCCAGTCTACAAATGATGGAAATGATGACAAGTCTCTTGGATTGGTACAGGGGGCCATTCCTTGACGAAACCTTATGACGTATGCCTCTAGAAGCGATCCATACCTCAAGGCAAGATGCATATCGTCCAACGTACCAGTCTTAAAGACACTTATGCTCGTTTCCAGAACGACTAGTGATGCCTGCAGTTCTATTACCCTTGTCCCCAAGCTAAGTGCCTTCAGTAAAAGTATTGAAGCAGTGATGACGCGCAAAAATATGCGCACAGGGCAAAACCAAAGCGTTCCAGATTCATAAAACCTGTCCATAGAGGTAAGGATTTCGCATGAACCATCAATGACTTCGTTAATGAACTCCGATTCGACAGCTTTGACAGGCATATTTAAAATGGCTGCGTTTGCCTGTGCTGATGCCGGCCTAACGCCGCCTATTGCACGGTCGATGACCCTTTGGATCCCCAGAGAATTCATTAAGATGCGTGTGTAATTGTACTCAATAAGAGCTCTTCTTGATAGTGTGCTGGAAGAACTGAGTTTCAAATGGTCAGGCCAGGTAGGGTTGAACTGAGGAGTGGCACAGCGAACTTCCTAGCTGGTTCTAGTTATGTATGTATACTTCCAAGTACGGAGTTGATGCCTGAAGCGACGCACGATCGTTGTATAGCGACCATTCCTGAGTAGTTCTCTTGTTCCCATTGGTGATGGAAACAACATGTCATTCACTGTTCGCGATATATTTGTCAAATCTAGCCAAGACGACAAAATGCTGGAATCGTCGCCAAGACGATGTTGTTGAGAGAGCACGGGGGTAAATTCCGCCGGTATCATCGAAGCGCAGCCGAGTCGGTTTGAGTGTTGTTCTACCAGAATGTAAAGCAGTTGGCAGAGAGACTCCGGGCGTAGCCCAAAATCTGTGGGGGTTGTAGTAGCGTGTTCCGGCTCGCTCATGTTCAATAACCCTAACTTTAGAGACAGGGACTGCGCGCAACCAAGTAGCATCCAGGACATGCGGTCTGATGTTTTAGCGGGAGCAACAATATCTCGGAACCATTTTACATTGATCTCGTCCGTTTTGTCCGCTCGGTTATTGTGTTCAGTGTCTCTCGGGTCGTCTTCAGTCAGCAGCAATGACGAGTCCCATCCATCGGCACCTGGTGGAAAGTGTATAGCTCGTGAGTGTCACTCTACCATCAGAAGAAATGCCTCAATGGAGCCTATTGTACGAGTCTTAGCCTTTCATCTTTTTTCCTGGCCGATTATTATCCTCAGGATGAGGTGTTGGCAATGCTCCCACAGTCTTTGGTGGATCAAAGTGCTTCTTGCAATTCCACCTGTTCCTGGAAGCACATGGTATCTTGAAGAAATCAAGAGTATCACGCAGCAAAGAAGTGGCTCCTGAGTAATTAGGTTAAAGTGCGCGTCATGGCTCGGGTTGAAGTTTCTCGAGACTAGTGACAGTGGCGCCAAATGTTTGAAGAATCTCCACCATAATCAGTTCGTGCTGCCAAATCATGTCATAGGGGCCTTACAGGTCCATGTAAGTAACCGCTTCTTCAGATGAAAACCATCCCATTTTCGAAAAACGCAATGCATTCCACATTCTGAGCGTCTTAGAAGATGGCACGGGAAGTTCGTTAGCCTTTGCTGCTACAGATGGTGCTTTTTTCGGGGTGGATAGATCGATCACTGTCTGCGGGGCTGTATTAATAGTGGAAAGTTCGGCCGGCGAGTCCCCGTTCCTATTTTCAAGAGTAGCTTGAAACAGTAACTTCAGCGCATCGTTCCCATTGGAGACAAGCGTTCTCATCAATGTTCCGTTCAAATCTCCAGTAACATTGTCTTCTCTTTGCTCGTTATCATTGTCAAGTCCAACTGCGTCAGGTCGAAGAACTTCAAACATTGACTGGGAATTGTCCGACTCTCCATCTGCTGGCGACGTTGTATTGGCGTCTGGTACAGGCCAGTTGCCGCTGGCGACACCATTGACAGCTGGTTCAGTGACCACTTCTGAGGCAGCTTGCGAACCGTCATCCTTCATGTTGAGGTGGGCGGAATGGGGTAATTCTTCATATATTATCAGTGTGGTTCTCATGATGTTCGACAATGCCAAAAAAAAAAAAAGATTACCTTTGTCTTTCATTATGCTCAATCCAAGTTCACATGGAATCCGAATTTTATCATCGGCACGACTGGAATGGGACCTCTCCACAGGAAAGACGCATTCCCTTAGTTCTCTTTTGCATCGCAAACAAGATTTCCCAGGCCCGTCAGTGATGCATCGAATCTTATTCCTGCGGCAAAGTTTGCACGCCTTGTAAGTACGGCGGAAGTTTCGAATCGGCCTTTCGTTCTCGGCGGGAGGGACGGATGCCATAGTCTGTAATGAGCCGTCAATGATGGAGATGGATCTTGCTTGTTGGGTGTGATGTCGATGAAAGCGAGAATCCGGGGATGGAAAGTGACGGCAAGACTGATTGCACCGAGATCGTGCCGGGTTTGTGTACGAGCCGTGACTTTCCGGTGGGATGGCCGGAAAGCCACGGAGAGCAGTGAAGAAATGTCCCGCGGTGGACAACTCGGTTAGTCTATGTTCATGGCCCGCGCCATTCCCGGGGTTAGAAACACAATTCTAGAGGGTATGATTGGTTGTCTTAGCCATTTGCGGGGCTCGCACCGCCCGATTGCCGTTAAGATCCATATCGAGATCCATGCTCGTGTGTCAATTTACACCTTAATAAGCCAGCTCGGCTTTGGCGGTCAAATCTTGAGTACTTGGGGATTGACTTATTGGCAAGTGCTCGATTGTTGAAAACGGCCTCCTAATCGGGAATGACGCAACTTCCACTAATGCCATCGTATCTACGAGATAGACAGCCCTTGCAGCACCAGCTAGCCCAGCTACCCAACCACCTACGAAGGCAGCCACTCGTACTCTTCAGTTAGGTAACGAAAGCTGCGATGCTTGTCCCCAACCTCTGTCACATCGATCACAGTGTTTTCGTCCCTTGGACCGAATTCAAGGTCCCTCTTGTGATTCTCATATTCCAAAGCGAAATGCAACCCTATAGCTGCAACGCCTGTTATGCCCGTCAACCCGCAACCAATTGCTGTTCCTTTGGTTTAGAACGGGCTGTCCAACAGGTTAGCTTTATGACGCTCATGCGCAACATAACCTTGAAAGAGCTACTGACCCATCAGAAGTCGGAAAGACCACACTGCTCATGAATGAAGAACATTGCCCAAGTGTTGCTAGGGTTGCGAGGCCTGCGCCCTTTTTTGAGTCACCGCCCTGGTTGTTCAACAACCATGTGATATTGATGCACATGGCGGGGAAAACTCCACAAGAGGCGAGAAATACACCGGTGTATCGTGCCGCAATTTTTGATTCATCTCGAATTAGGACCAGAATGAGATAGCCGGCAGTAGCCATGACGCTTCCACCACTGACGATAAATCCACGCATGCCGTAACGGTCGCTAGCCCAAGCTGCTGCAACACAACAAACAAAAGCTGCCAAATACGGCGGAGCTGTCAGACCTTGCGCTGTGACAGACGAATAGCCCATATCGCGGACAATAGTTGGGAGAAAGTTTGACAATGCAGCAAATGAGTAGTTTTTGCAAAAGTGAATCAGCGTATGCACGTAGTTTTGGTAATCAGTCATTCCTGCAAACACTTGGTCCCATCTGATGGCAGACTTTTTTGTGTTGTCTCGTTGTTGCAGTCTCTCTACAGCGAAGATTTTGTCCGCTTCCGATAAGAAATTTGCTGAACCAGGTGAGTCGGCTAGATAGAACCAAGTAACTGCACCGAAGGCAATCGTTGGCGCTCCCTCTGGTTTCGTTAGGTCAGTATTCTTATTGTTAGGATGGAAACTTGCCGATAATGAATAGATATTGCCAAGGCTCCAGAGACCCGCGAATCTGTGTGATTCCAAAGGCAAGGGCAGACGCGAAGCAATTTGCCAGGGGCGACATTCCAATCAGGAGAGATACTCTGAATCCCAGTTCGCGCCGCTTGTAAAACATGGACAGAAAATACGGGGCGCCGGCGCCGAAAGCTGCCTCAAACAGGCCGAGAAAAGCACGCGAGGCTGCCAGAGACCCGAGATTATGCGCAGCACCTGAAGACATTGCCGCAGTGCCCCAGCTAATAGTTTCATAGGCATCAGCGATATCCCACAATGATTGAAAAGATGTTGAGGGGCAACCCACAGAATGCATAGCACTGCCACGTACTTGCTGGCAGGGAGTATTTTCCAGACGAGATTGGTCCATTCAAACACGACGTAGGCGATATAAAATGAGTTTAGAACCCAAGCCCACTCAGAATCAGAAAGCTTTAAGTCAGATTTGGCTCCGGCGGCTTTTGCGTTACCGATGTTGCCACGGTCAAGGTAGGAGAGGATGTAAAGGCAGCACACAATTGGAAGGAGATGTCGGTCAAACTAAGAACTCCAGTTAAATTATTTCGGTCTGCGGTGTATCGGGTCAACGTACTGATCTTCGAATGCGAATGTCGGTCTGCTCCGATATTGCTGCGTTATCTTGCACAGCTGGCATGTCAACATCCTCGACTTGCTTCGCCTTGACTGATAATTTATCCTCGGATACGGCTTGCGCCATCGCTTGCCGTCAGACGCAGACTCTAACTGTTCTTAGTAAAGTAATGCAAGGTACACAAAACAAACTGGCTCTTGTTAAGCCTGTGAATGGAGAAATGAATAATGGGCCATGCAAATATGTTCTATTCAACAAGGAAAGCCACTGCTTTATACGTGTATGATATCCGCACTTCTCCGATCGCAACTTCGATCTGCAGCTCCCTCACTCAATGCAAGTGAATGCGGGGAATAGACTTATCAAGTGGAGGCTTGGGGAACATTTACCCCAGATTCTCTGATTGATCTACACCAACCCTGGTCGCACGTTTCCTTGAAGTCAACCGTGCGTCCTAGCTTATCCGTTCCTTTCCGTTTAGTGTTCCGGATAGTCAAGGAACACAAACAACATCCCAAAGCCTTACGTATCGTTCATGGTAGTTATAAATGAACACGTAGGTTTTCGAAAATGGACCGAACTTGGCTTCTATTAAGGCAAACAATTTACAATCCCAAAGACATACGCAAGAAAAGCAACTCAACCGCATCTCCTTTATCATGTCGAAATCTATTGTCAACAGCATCCCCTACCCCTTCAAATTCAACCCTCCGGTCGTGGAGAAGAAGGGAAACCCAGGGCAGACGGAGAACTTGACTACGACGCTTGTGAATGTTCGAGGGAAGATACCCTCAATCCAGGCTTCTCGCTTGCGGACAATGATGCTAGAAGCACACAATAATTCCGACAAAATTCTGGCCCATGCGTGCACTTACGATGGTCTCTCATCTCGCCTAGTCGAAGAAGCAGGCTTTCCCATGGTCTTCTTGGCTGGTTATGCGGTTGCCAGCGCCTACGGGCTTCCCGACACCGGTTACATTGCCATGTCGGAAATGTGCGACAAGATTGGAGAGACTGTGCGTCAGGTCTCTGTGCCAGTAATGGCTGATGGTGATACTGGCTACGGAAGTCCGCTGAACGTCAGGCGAACAGTCAAGAGCTTTGCTGAGGCTGGGGCTGCCGGCGTGATGATAGAAGACCAGACTTGGCCTAAGCGTACGATATGCTCACCATTTCTTGTGGCTCTCTTCTCACTTTGACACGAACAGGTTGCGGCCATACGAAGGGCAAGTCCGTTGTGTCACGAGGCGAGGCGTACGCTCGAATTCAGGCGGCATGTGATGCCCGTGATCAGGGCAAAGATATTTTCGTTCTTGCCCGAACCGATGCTTTAGTCGTTGGATGGGATGAGGCATTGACACGAGCTAAAGAGTTCAAGAGAATCGGAGTCGATGCCGTCTTCGTCGAGGCCCCACCCGACCGAGACGCTATGCGCAAGTGCGTTGAAACACTGCAACTCCCTACGTTTGCAAACAGTAAGTGAACCACACTCTGTATCAAGATGCAAGATCTCTAATGTGAAGCAGTAATCGAAGGTGGAAAGACTGAAAATTTGTCAGCAAAAGATCTGGCTGAACTCGGGTATTGTGCCGTGGCATATCCTTGGACCCTCGTCGCTGCGAAGTTGAAAAGTGTGCGTGAGACGCTCGAAAGCTTGAAAAGAAGCATGACAGTCGGTGCACCACCTATGATTCTGTCTTTTGACGAAGTCTGTGAGGGTGTAGGTTTCAAGAAATACTGGGAACTAGAAGATCGGTATAAATATGATGACGATGGGCCGATCAACGTTAACGTATCTTCGCCCTGAGGGAGAGCGAGAGTCAAGCTTTCATTGGTGACAAGGAGGGGTCCAGAGTACAATTTGACAGTGATGTTCTTTTTCAATTGACCTCTTTGTCGTAACGCTTTGCAGTCATTTAATCTATCACCATTCCGGCGCTTTGAAACCCACCAGTGCTAAAACCGCGATTGCCTCTACAAGGCTCGTCCAGAAACATGCTCCTAATTCGGAACGGTCGACAGGATATCTAACCTGAGGCCACAGCACCGCAGCACATGCTAAGACATGTGGGTGACGCTGGCCTTCTCCCCCTCCTTTTTTCCGTTCGTATCTATGACGACCGGACCAGCTGCGAGATCCTCCGCCTTTGGGTACGCAACCTTATGCACGGTGTACCAAGGTCGATTGAACAGGCTTTCCATGGACTCTAGAGATCTTCCAGAGGTTTCCGGCATGGCAAGATATACGTAGACAAGGGAAACAAAGCAGATGACCGCAAAGAATATAAAGGCACCATAGCGCTCGGTAGCGGCCAGAAGTGATGGCATAGCTCGCGAGCAGCCAAAGTAAAAGGCCCAGTGAAAAGCCATGAGAACAGATACGCATAGAGATCTGATACGGATCGGAAAGACTTCTGCACTGACGAGGTAAGGGATGGAAAACCATCCTATAGACCACGCGATGGCATGCAAGTAGATTGCCGCGATGGCAGCTTCGCTTGCTCGCCTGGCTGCTGAGTCTGCAGAAATGTCTCCAGGG